TTTGTTATAATCTTTAATTTGATTTCATATGTTTGTTAATTTATTCGTTTTTCTTGGTCTTGATGATATATATGGAATATACATTTTTCATAGGGGATTTTGAGTTCGGGATATTATGTTATACATACGTGGGCAGTGAGTCATAAGGGACCTGTGTATTTGTCGATGTTCAAACCGTTATCTATATTGATTGCAGCCGTATCAACTTTCATTTTCCTCGGCGAGTCGCTCTATCTTGGAAGGTATAACACAAACTTATTGCTTCTCTTTTTCTTCATGATTTTAATATCACTATGTAAATCTCATTTGTCAATCCTTCTCGTTATGTTTGGTTACAGTGTGATGGGAGGAATATTGATATCAATTGGCTTTTACATGGGGTTATGGGGTAAAGCCAAGGAAGACAAAGTTGACATATTAGGAACCATAGAGTCGTCTCCTTCACATAAAGCTCCCCTCTTGGAGAATTAAAAGCAAATTATAGTATTCACTTTATTTTTTAGTAAGTGATCTTTTTGACAGATAGATGATATGTGGTGTGTGTCATCCATTTTACGATGTAGTTCGACCAAAAGTCCAAAAATCATAAAAATATCCAAATGTATTTAGAAGAATTAAACGAGAGAAAGAATAGACGACACAAACCAGAGACACGTATTGTTTGTTAATTTCTTTTTTTTTTTTTTTGATTCGTATATCATATTCATAAATGTAGCAGAATAAGAATCACGAAAAATTTGTATATGATCAAGAATGTTTTGTTTTGTTTTATTACTGATTCTGTTTTCTCGAAAAATTTATTTCCTTCTACAAAAATCAACTTACCAAAAATTAGTTCATCCTCTATTATATTTAATAATAAATAATTTCTTATCATATACTATATATCTCGTTTTCAGTCACTCCAATTTCAGATTTTAAGAATCTTAATTTCCTTTTGGTTCCCAAAAATCCAAAGTATTAATGATTCGAAATTGATTATGATACTTACAAAATATATACATCAGATACATCTGAGAGTAAATCAATGGCTGGTATCGACCTTCCCTCTGATTTGGTCATTGACATACTCGCGAGAGTTCCGGTTAAGAATCTGGTCCGGTTCATTTGTGTGTCTGCAAACGATGGAGATTGCTACTAAGAAGCAAGAACTTCATCAAAGCACAAATGACTTACGCCCCAAGAAAGATTCTTGCGATCCAAGACAATGGAGATTCTCCTCCTCGTAGCATCCTTTTCGAACAAGAAAACAATGGTAAACCAAAAATGACACTCAAAGATGCCGATCTAACTTACAGGGACGATAGTTTGGTCGATTTTGATGTGATTGGACATTGCGATGGAGTGTTCTGTATCTGGCTCCAAGACAGGACTTTAGCTGTTTGGAATCCGTTGCTGAGACAAATAAGAAAGGTATCATCAAAATCTACTAAGCCAATAACTTCTCATGATTTGATAGGTTTTGGTTATGATCATTTTCATTGATGATTACAAGATCGTGATCTTCTCAGCATTGTCTGAAACCATTAAGGCTCCAAAATATTGGTCTCGAGGCGAAATCTTCACAGTGAAATAATCTTCGCGCTTGAGTATTGATCATTTCCTGAAATTCGTCGTTGTTTCGACGTAAGAGGGACTCTTGCAGGCAATAAAATCTTCTGGCAAGTGAACAACAACCCGGAAAACGTAGCTGAATCAGAAACTATTCTTAGTTTTGATCTATCGTCAGAGAAATTCGAGTACAAGTCTGTTCCTAGAGATATTAAAGGATTGATTCGAGGTTTAGTTGCAGTACGCGGATGTCTAGGGTTTGTGGGAATGTACCTGTTCCAAACAATGCATAAGATAGTTGTTTGGACCGCAAGTAATGAAAAATCTTGGAGCAAGTTTACAGTTAAAGAGTGTTTCCATGATGGCTTTTTAGGGCCTCAGAGAAACGAAGTTGCTTTACTTGGGACGCATAAGAATAAAGATGAATGGAAAGTGAAGTATTTGGGACACGAAGCTATGGAGATTTTCACTTATAACTTGGGAGGATGGTAAGTTTATTAAGATCGAGACCAATTTCAGGACTTGCTCTTTTACTTTATATGATTATGTTGACACTTTATTTCCGTTAACTAATGCTTTTTTAGATTTATGTAGACTTTAAATTTTATTCTACGAGTGTTTTTTGTTTGGGTGATACTTGTTCTACATTTCTCAATAATTGAGTCTTTCGTTTACTGGAATCTTTGGTGAATTGTCACATGCAGTAAAAGTAAATTCAATGTCTTTGACCAAGGAATCATAGAAATTTATCAATGATTAAAATTTCTAATAATTCCAAATTTCCAATGAAGAAATTAATGGATAAATCAACAATTTTTGTCTCCTCAATATCACTTTTGACACCCTATCAAACTTTGAACAATTTACCTATCTTTCTCTTTATCGTTGTGTATGTTGTACTGATTTAGACTTGTATTGTGGGTATGTCCGAGTTTACCGTTTGTAATCGATTAATTATGAAGTGAAGTTATTTGACAAAAACGAATCAACATTTTCTAAAACAATAAACCACAACCATATATCAAATACTTAGACCCCTCCACAGTTACATATTTCAACGAAATTAAATTACAAATATTTTTCTCATCAAAGCCACCTAAATTTATAATATGATCTTATTACTGATTAATTAATTAATTAGTGTTGATTTAAAATAAAATACTCATGCTAATTAGTGGATTCATACTTTTATTAAATATTTTAAGTTATGGAGCATTGATATCACTAGAATTTTACATTGTGTGTTATGGAGAAAAGTAGACATATCATTAGAAACCGTAGAATCATCTCCTTCACAAAAAGAATTCCCCACTAATTAGCATGTTAGCTAATAATTTCTCATACATTTCACTTTTTTTTGGTATATATGATCATTCCACCAATAATTTAAACTAAAAGAAAAAAAAGAAAAACATAATCCTGAGACATATAAATGCTATTGAAAGACTCTTTCTTTTTCTATATGCTTCATTCTCAGAGCCGTGCAAGGTTTGAAAAAGAAACCTTCGCCTATGGCATCATTTTTTGGAAAACTATTAAGCAAGCCCTTAGTACTATTTAGTTGTAGTTTTATCCAATAATTATCCACGTTTACTTTTCCTACCTTTTAATTTGATTGAAACTATTCAATTTTAATCAATTTGATAAGTGAAACAAAAATGAATAAATAGACAAGTATAGTCTACATCGTTTATCAAAGTAACCTTGTTCTCTCATATATTCTTCTTTTTGTTTTTAATCGTTCTTAGTAGAACACTCTATATTGTTGAGGTATGGTATAAGATTAATTGGGATATTTGGCTATATTATCTATTGAAAAAGAATATAATTAGATGAAAATTTGATTCTCAAAAATTCATTATCATAAGAAAAGTTTATGTTTTATAATTAGTCTTTTGTTTGCTAGGTTAGTTCTTTATATGTTTTTATTATTTGACGATGGTGTTTAGTATTGTTGATTGTAAATTTCTTTTATTATTTTTGTTCGCTTATGGCATCAGTAAACGTTGGCACGGCTCTGTTCATTCTGGATATTTTGCCAAATACACAAATGTAAAAGAACAAGAAGAATCAAGAAACATCAAATATTTGATTTGAGATTTTGAAGCTCTTTGTCTTTCAATGATTCTGTATTTGTTTATGTGACATTCCGTAGACAAGAATCTCTCTTTCAATATTATATGTGAAACAATTAATAAATCAACAAGTTTTGTACAAAAAGAAAATTAACAATTAATAACCCCACTATTTAATTAATAACCCCACTAAAAGAACAAGAAGAATCAAGAAACATCAAATATTTGATTTGAGATTTTGAAGCTCTTTGTCTTTCAATGATTCTGTATTTGTTTATGTGACACTAGATGTTTGCCCACGCGACGCGTGGGTTATTGCATATATTTTTTTTATGTAAAACAAATAAATGAAATATATTTTGTAAGCAATACAACAATAATAAAGCATATATAAAAATAATAGATGAATGAGAGTTAACAGCTCAATATATAGACTTAAGATTTTCACTTAATATTTTCGAGATTACAACTTGGTTCAATATATGTTTTACTTACCTTTTTCCAAAGCATTACTAAATTTCAACTACTAAAAGAGAACCATCTGAAAAATGACATTCATTGTGTATAGTAGTCTTCTCCTTCTTCTCGTCTTTTGTCTTCTTGATTTTCTTCTTAATCTTTGTGCAAGAATATCAAATTTATTTGAGTGTACCCAAATTTAGGTTAATATAGATTGAATGTAATGAATGTTTTCGGCAAAGAAAACCTACAATAATGCATCTTCTCTACTCTTTTTTTTTTTAAAGACATCTAAAGTAGCACAAACGATTGACCGTACGTAGGATTTCTTGGTTTCATGTCACCTCCTCTTCACAATCTCTTTCAAAAGTGACAAAAATATATATATTGAAACACCATTTGTTGAATTAGAAGATTAAATGTTATACAATTTACCAATAATAGAAAACTTGGAATATGATGGTTTGTGAGATGTGTGTGTTAATATTTATAGGGAATTTTTTGTAATAAAAGCATAATATTATACCAAACATATAATTCAAAATAGATGTCAATAGGGAGAGTCAACTGCAAGCAAAATACTAAACGTTAAAACAATAATGCAACATTCATGTACCTCCATATGATTTTGGGTTGACAGCAGTTATGATTAGAATTGTTGCTTTCCCAACAATAGTTGCATATAATTTACGAAACTCCAAAGCACAAGCATCCCAAACCATGACACGAACATTTTTCCCACTATGAAAATGTCCAAATTAAAAAAATTAGTGGAAAAATAAATAAAGTAAATCATACATGTTTTAAAAGTAAATTTCTGCTTACTCAGCCAAAAGAAGATATAAAGTTATTTTTTCATCGCATGATAGGTCCTCTAGATTGGATCCTTGAATCTTTGTTAATTCTCCAACAACATCTGCAAATTATAAGATGTGGAATTTATTGATAAGAAATGGGTCTTGTAAAAATAGAGTAACCAAAACTTTACTAGGTAAGTGATGGTTTGTTCCGGCGAGAGTCCATAATTCGTTATATTGTCGAAACCTAAACATCTCATTAGGAATTGGAGGACTCGTTTCTTCAATAGGGTTAATGATGGTGCCATCTAAGAATTTAATGACATGGAGATGATCCGTTAGTTGTATTTTCCATAGCTAGCATCCACTTGGAATTCTGATATATTGTAAACTTTTTCCTCATGAAGATCATCTCTGAAGCGATAAGCTCGGTATTGGGGTATAGTTACTTGGATTAAAGTAGACTGCAACATAATAGTAAATTTTTATTAGATAGACATGTAAAAGTATTCTAAATTATTAAAAGATTGTACCTGTTGGTCTAGTAGCAGAAAGTCTAGGCTAAAATTTTTCCCATTTTGATGGAAAGATTTAGCTAGCTTGCCATTTGCGTAGGAGTCGACCACATATAGACTGAGATTGCCGACCTATTTCAAGCTCTTTGAATGGAGTAATGGCCATTTGGTTTAGTGGGATTGTTACGTGAAGGTAGGGAGAGGAGTTGCCTTTTTTTTTTTTGGTACGTTGCAAATAAAGAAATGGAGTCTTATATAGGAGGTGAATGATTTAAGTAAGAATATAGAACTATCATAAAATAAATTTCAATGTAGAATATAGCTGTTGTATAAGACGTTTCACTTTCAATTATCATGATGATGACGACCATTAATTCCATATTTGGAGTCATGGACTTTTCCTTATACAAACGTAACCCTAAATTAATGCTATAATTATTTGGAGTCTTTGACTTTTCCTTATACAAACGTAATCCCTATATTAATGCAATAAATATTTGTCTCTAAATATATATTTAATATTTGATTTAAGTGATTCTGAAAATAAACGTAATGCATAAAATTTAATTATAAGATTTAATAGGATTTAATTATAAGATTTAATGGTTTAAAATTTTGAATTATTTTTAAAATAAAAATGACAAGTGGACCAATCACAAGAGATTGAAACCCTACTTCTATATGTATGATTCCGTAGACAAGAATCTCTTTCAATAGTATATGTGAAACAATTAATAAATCAACAAGTTTTGTACAAAAAGAAAATTAACAATTAATAACCCCACTAAATCAATATTTTCAAAAATAAAATATAAGCATCAAGTCAAATAGAAACTTCAATTACAAGTCCTTTCTCATAAAAGTCACATAAAATTTATTATGATTCCAATTAATTTTGTAATTAATGTTATTAGAGTTAGATGAGAAGAGAATTGGAGAAAGAAGAAGAAGAAGAGATGTAGAAGAAGATGCTTTTACTTCATTGTTTCTAGATAATCGTTTACAGAGAACGATAGAAAAATACAAAGAGGAGTCCATTTTCTCATTATTATCCTCAACAGTATCAGAATCATCAAGATCAATAATGTTAATGGGCTTTCGTGTCTTGTTTTCTTCCTTACCCATAGAGTGTGCTTGACCACTCCTTGAAACAGATTCTGATGCACTCATAGAAGCATGGACACTTACTGTCGTCGAATCCCGCATGAATTTGCCTAGACTTTGAAAAGGAGAGTTTGGATCACCAGCAGAGCGAACCATTAGGTCTATCCCAAAATGATCATCAATGGCAAGTTCAAACTAAAATACAAGTGTTGATTAGTGGACTTGTACTCATTTTACCAAATCTTTTGAATTATGGAGTATTGATCAATAAAAATGGATCTATTATTATCTCTTTCTCTCTCTAAAAAAAAAAAAAAAAATCTCATGTGAAGAGAGGTGAAATTATGGGCCCACTTCCACTATTAGTGGTGCCACTAAGAGCGATTGTGGTTGACCCATTTTAATTAAAGATAATTTCGGAATAGATGAAAAATGCACGAGGAGGCCTCCCGCAGTGAAACTCATTGAATAGTATGGACCTTCACTGATACAATTCCGACAGTCACTCCCTTCTACAACACTTTCAAAAATACTTGACATTCCTCCAGCTATCACAACTCCTCCGAACAACAGATATGAATCAAACAATGCAGGGAGCTTGTTGCGTAACGCCACAACAACTGGAGTAGTTATATGGTTGTCAACAAAGCTATTAACAACTTTCTGAACCCGTCTTACTCATCTAGCCATATCTTCATCAATCGTGAGATCGTGTTAGCGTTATATGGTATAAACCCTAATCTGGTGTTCTAGTGGATTAAAGACAATGAATGAATGGGTCAGTAGAGAAAAGTTTAGTAAGAGAGAGAGAGAAAAATGAGGAAAAAATGTCACAAAAAACCTTTATTTTTATTTTTTTTATAGATATTTAGTTGAGTGTGCTATTTGTTTTAAATGTTATGTGTTTTAAATATTTTTAAAAATATTTGTTTTGTTCCGCGTTAGTTAGAAATTTTCCATCTTAAAATCGTTCTCTTTTTAAACAACTATCCATTTTATAATATTTATTTGAGAAATTGTTAAAAATGCCCCTTTTTCAATACCCCTTTTCAAAAATGCCCCTTTTGAGAGTCCATTTTTAAGTTTGCCCTCTTTTAATTTTTAATGACCATTTTACCCTTATTTGAAACAAAATTAGGTCCACAAAATACAAAATATTTTTTGGCGGGAAAAGTGATCCCGCAATTTTCCCGCCAAAACACTTGTAAAAACCTTTAAAATACCTTGTAAAATTTTCCCGTAAAAATTTTTCCCGCCAAAAAATTTTCCCGCCAAAAAATTTTTTTTGCGGGAAAAGTGATTCCGCAATTTTTTTTCCGAAATTTTTTTGGCGGGAAAAATTTACAAGGTATTTTAAAGGTTTTACGGAGTATTTACAAGTGTTTTGTAAGGTTTTACAATGTATTTTAAAAGGTTTTACAAGGTACTTATAAGGTTTTATAAGGTATTTATAACTTGTAAAACCTTATAAAAAACTTGTAAAACCTTATAACTTGTAAAACCTTATAAAATAGCTTGTAAAATCTTATAATATCTTATAAATACTTTATAAATACGTTGTAAAACCTTTTAAAATACATTGTAAAACCTTATAAATACCCTGTAAAAACCCTTTAAAATACCTTGTAAATTTTTCCCGCCAAAAATTTTCCCGCCAAAAATTTGCGGAATCACTTATCCCGCAAAAAAAAATTTTTGGCGGGAAAAAATTTTACGGGAAAATTTTACAAGGTATTTTAAAGGTTTTACAAATTTTTACAAGTGTTTTGGCGGGAAAAATTGGGGGATCACTTTTCCCGCCAAAAAATATTTTGTATTTTGTGGACCTAATTTTGTTATATTTCCTTATATATTTATGATATCTTTTATTAAAAGAAGGGTAATTTAGTCATTTTGTACATAAAAGGGGTATTTTTAAAAATGGACATCCAAAAGGGGCATTTTTGAAAAGGGGTATTGAAAAAGGGGCATTTTTGTGAGTCTCCCTATAATCTATAATAATTAACTAATCTAAAAAAATCTATAATAGTTCATTAATTTCTTAAAAAGACGTGCTCAAGCTAATAATATAACAAGCTAAGTACTTTACAAAATAACAGATCTACTTTAGTCTTGAGATATAAAGAGTAGTTCAAAGTGTGTACTGTGTAGTTTAGTTTACTAAACAAGCATGTGAGTAACATTTTGAAGTGTACATAGTATGTCTAATACGAAACAGATTAACAAGAAAATCAAAGTTGTGTTGTTAGTTTATCGTTAAAGCCCGAAAAGCAAAGAGTAGGAAACTGATTATTTTACATATGATTCAACACCAAAACGAAGAAGAAGAAGAAACAATACATCTCAAAGGCGAAACAACTTATAGAACAAGACCGGTTTGTATCGAGCAAGGGCTTGTCCGATCGCCAGTCCAAACAACACTCCGGGTCCATAGCCTATTGCAGCTGCTTTCCAGTTCAACGCGTGTTCTTGCTTTGGTAGTTCTTGCTCTTGTGTCTGTGGTGTTGATGGTGCTCCATTTCCCCTAAAACAACTCTCTTGAAGAGGAAGACCACAAAGATTGATATTCCCTTCAAAGGAGGATTTAGGTTGCCCTCCAATCTGTGTACTCTGTGGTATTTGGCCGGTGAGTCTGTTATGTGACATGTTAACATATCCCAAAAACGTGAGGTCTCTTAGCTCTTGAGGTATATTTCCAGAGATTCGGTTTTGAGATAGATCCAATGACTCGAGTTGTTTAAGCTTGGCCAAAGACGATGGAATACGACCAGTGAAAGAGTTGTTAGATAAGTCCAGAACAATCAACGATTTCAAGAAACCTATTGATTCTGGAATCTGTCCTTCAAAGCTATTTCCTGAGAAATCTATTGATGTGTATGTGTCTGGGATCTTTCCCAACTCTATGCTTCGTCCTTTGATTCTCAAATGAATGGAAGGATAAGACCAAAGCGGGGTCTCATATTTAGAGTGTTCATCTCCTGTGTACTCTGGCCAACGATAGCCTTGTGGGATATTAACCAAAGGTGCACTCCAATTCGCAAAGTAACTTTGTGGCAGGCTCCCGTTGAAGCTGTTACGGGATATATCAATTATCCGCAGTGCGGTAAATGAAAGAGAGATCTCAGGAGAAGAAATGGGACCATGAAATCTGTTTGATCTCAGAACAATGATTTCAAGACGTGTCAAAGCCTTCAGCCAGAAAGGGAAAGTGTCGTTGATGTGGTTTCCTTCCACATTTAGAAACTTTAGGCTTGTGCAATTTACTAGAGACCTTGGAAGCTTCCCACTTATTTGGTTGTGGCCAACGTCAAGTAGTACTAAGCGATCTTCTATGTCCGGAAGTCTCCCAGTAAGGTTGTTGTTACTGAGTTTCAACGCTTCTAGTCCTAGTGATACATTTGTCAAACATCTGGGAATTGACCCACTGAAGTTGTTGTTTGATAGATCAAGGAGACTCAGTCGAAATCTTTTGCAGAATATAAGTGGTATGCCTCCAGTGAAATAATTATTTGATGCAGCCATGATGTGGACATAAGGTGGAATAATAGGAAAAGATCCTTTAAAGGCATTTGAACTCAAATCTAACTCCGAAATCGACGAATTAAGGATTACTTTTGGCGTACCTTCTAAGGAATCGATGGAGTTGTGTGAGAGATTTACATGGAGCATAGAAGGCAGATTCCATAACAACTCAGGCACTTTTCCTTTAATTCTATTATTGGAAATGTCTAACCACCATAATCTTTGTAAGTCCTTAATAAACATCGGGAACTCGGTAATGTTACAGCTCGACAACTCTAGATGTGTCAAATTTTCCGAACCGGTACCAACCACTGACACACTATTTCCGGAAAGATCCAAACGCTCTAGAGACTTGAAGAGCAAGAAATCGAAGTTGAATGTGTAGGGTGTCTTTTGAAAAGATAAGTCAATACGCATGAGGTTGGCTAATTTTGAGATAGGTTCTAGGATTCGATGACTCATAAGGTTATAGGCCATGTCTAAAATTAAAAGCTTAGAGGTTGCAGAAGGATTTATATTTTCAAGAGGGTCACTAAGATGGTTTTGGCGTAGGTTAAGAGAAACTAGGAAAGGCATGGTGAAGAGGTAAGCAGGAATGGGTCCAGAAAACTTATTATATGATAGGTCTATATTTTCAAGAAGGGTTAAATTATGTAGACTGGGAATACGACCGGTGAGCTTGTTATATGAAAGGTCTAAATTAGTTAACCGGCTTAGGTTACTTATTGAGGATGGAACTTCTCCGATAAACCCATTTTTGCTAAGATCCAAGGATTCCAAGTAGGTGAGTCTGCCAAATCCAGAGGGGATAGGGGACGAGTCAAAATGATTTTCAGAGAGATCGAGGTACCTGAGGTGTTGGAATCTGAAGAGGCTACTATTAGCCATGAGACTAGTGAGACATTGACGACCAAGGGACAGCTCCTTCACCACACCGGTCTCGCTATCAAAGGAAACCCCACTAAAGGAGTTAGAGTCTTTGGTCCAGGAGCTTATATTTGCTCTAGTGTCCATTCGACCAAAGTAATCGAGTTTCCAAGTGAGGTCGCAGTTGAAGGATGGAAACTCATTCTTCAAATCCAAGAGAATCTCAACTTGGTCGCGAGGGAAAGGAAATGGTAGAGTGTAAACTGAGTCGCTGGTCACAAAGACGCAACAGAAGAAAGAAGTGATCAAGAAAACGGCCAAATGCGATCTCATCATATGAAGATATGAAGAAGAAATTGGTATGTATGATTTGGTCAATTTTGTAGTCTAATTCTAACAATTATATATAATAAAGATAAAGAGTTATGTCACATCGCTTGACTTGGAAATTTTGAGTCTTTCAGCATGTAAATATTGACCAAGACAAAGACAATGGACCAATTAATAATTTTTGGTGTCTTTAATTATCCAACTGTAGTCTTCTAGATAATTTTTTTTTTTTTTTTGTCAACAGCTTAAATTAGAGTTCAAAAGAGCCATTTTTGAGAAATGTTGTTTACATATGTGTCTCCTAGATACTTTATATTGAATAAAATCGTTTTTTTTTCCTGGACAAACGAGTCCTAGAAAGTAGAACCTATCACACAACAATTTAAAAAGAAGAACGAGAATTTAACATTTAAAAAAATATATCAATAATACTATTATTTGGGGAGTACATTTTATAAGATACATTTAACTAACCTTCTCTTTCGTAAAAAATTACTTAAGAATGTCATTAGAAATAAAATTTTATAGAATAAATTAATTCAACTTATTAAGGATAAACAAGTCAAATACTATTTTATACAATTTAATTAATATAATTTAATTATAAAACGAAAATTTATTATTAATTTCTTTAAAAAGAATGACCAATCAAAATAAACATATAAGATTTGATATCTAAATTACCATATTAATTTGTTATTAATCATTATACTTCAAATTTCATCTTTGTATGATTCTATTTCTATAAATAAATAAATCATTATATCATCTATATAATAAAAAGAAAAGTATATTTTTTCCGCATATACCAAGATTTGAATTTTTAAAAACGAATATAAATTATTCAATGTATAAAAGAACAAATTTAACGGGTCAAAAATTCATATTTGAGTAATTTATTCCTCTTTTTTCAATATCATCAATACTTAATAGATCAAAAATTTATGAAATATAAATACTCTAATTTGATTTTTTGAAACAAATATTTATAATAGCCGGCGGGTTGAATATAATATATTATATGATGAAATGAGTTATGATCCTTATAACTATTTAAATAGTTATATTTAATTTCATATCATTTTTTTTTTTAAATTCATAATTTTACATACTACAATAAAAAATTTTAAAGATTTTAATTTGGAACATTTTAAAAAAATTTAATTTAATATATTAAAGAATATCATAAATATTTAATAGATTAAAAAGAAAAAAAAAATTTAAATACAATAATTTGATTTTCTAAAAAAATATGTTTAAAATATTTATAGTAAGCGGCGGGTTAAATGTAATGTATTATATGGTACAAAGTTATGATCCTTATAACAGACGGCATTTTAAGATTTTATTATGAGATGAGTTAAATAAGGTTTGACACTTCTAAATATTTGAAAATTTGATTCTGCAAGCAATTTTGAAAATAATAAATAATAGATTGTGCCGCAATATTTTCATAAAAATTGTAAAATAAAAATATAGACTCCACACACGGATTGAATTTGGTATTATTATATATCAAATATATGTTTATAACATATTTGATTATGTGAATAATTGGTAAATTCCGTAATTAGCTCAAACAAATCTCTATTTCAACAACCAATGAATCAGAATTTGAAAAAATAATTTCTTAAATTAATTCAAAATAATAGCTAATTTTTTTAAGTAATTCAAAATAATCTACGTTTTAGATGCGATTCATTTATGTTATTTTGATTTTTGATCTAACTAAATTATATGCACTCTCATTTTGTGGTTGTTAACATAAATTAACTCATTGTTCAAACAATATTAATTTTTTTAAAAACTAATTTTATTTTCCGTTTTCATATCTTAAAAAAAAAAATCCATAATTGAATACTATAGAAAAAGGAAAATATTGTCCAAAAATATATATATATATATATATATATATATATATATATTTATTCTAATATTATATATAGGGACTGACAAAAAATATTATTTTTTTCACTTACTATTATAATATATCACAAATTTATTCTAAAACATAAAGTTTATAAATTTTGTAATAAATGAAATTCAACCCGTACTGTAGTACGGGTGATGATCTAGTTCTTATTTACTATAAATGGAAATTAGTAAATATCAAAATCTAGATTACTTAGACACATTTCAGAATCTAATAGATTATCTATAACCAATATTACATATTGCTTGCCATTTTCATTAAGTGTATTCATTTTTTGGTTATATTTTAAAGTAATAGTTAGTTTTATACCTCATACAAGAACAAATATTTAAATCCCTACCAAAAAAAAGAACAAATATTTAAATACTAATTAAGCATTAAAACATGCACCTTTTTCCAAAATATTACATAGACAATTACTTCATAGCTATTTTCCTTCCAAATTAATTTTTATATCTCTAGATTTTTTTCTTCTGTTCTATCTTTTCTACTTGATAACTCAAAATAAAATATAAATAGGTGTTCACACACACTTCACATATATGGTGGTAATGTTTTGGATACTTGTCGACATGCAACGATGGATTTATCATCAAACTTGCGGGAAAAAATCAAAGAAAGTGACGACCAGAAGGAGGAGGACATTGGCACTATATCTCTTGCTTTGTATAACTCTATTCTCCATCACTTTCTTCTTATTTCCTCATAATTCTTTCAACCCCATTAACAATTACAATGTTCTCTACGTCGAACCTCAACTAAGTAAGTTTAAATGTTTTTATTATTGAAATGCAAACCCCAAATTGTTGAAATCTTTTTTTTACTTAGAAATTAAAGCATGACTTTGATGATGGATGTAAACTTTTGTAGGGTATCTAAAACTTTGGCACATACTGCATATAGTTGTGTTATTAATTGTTGTCGTTGTTTTAGATTTTAAGGACTGTGACTTGTCTAAAGGACAATGGATTCGAGACGAAAGAGGGTCGCTGTACTCAAACTCTACCTGTCCTACAATACCCGACTCGAAAAACTGCTTAAAACATGGGAGACCAAACACAGATTTCTTGTTCTGGAGATGGAAACCCGAAGGATGTGAACTTCCGAGATTCAATCCCAAAGCTTTTCTCGAACTTGTTCGCGGCAAAAAGATGAATTTCATTGGTGATTCAGTAGCCAGAAACCACATGGAGTCTCTTCTCTGCCTCTTGTCAATTGTAAGACTCTATTTGTATAAGATCTTGTGACATAACTCCTTAAGCTTGTGACTTAAGAAATCTCGTTTCTTTGCTTTGGTTTCACAGGAAGAAACTCCGAAAGATATCTAAAAGGATGCAGATGAGAGAAACAGGATATGATACTTTCGAGAGCATGACTTCACTCTATCTACCTCATGGACTAAGTTTCTAGTGGCGGGATTCGAGAGGACTCATGCTAACAAGACCGGAACAGGAATTTATGATCTCGACATTGACAAGATCGATGAGCAATGGGCGAAGGATCTGCCAAATACAGACATTGCCATTGTTTCAGCTGGTCATTGGTTATTCAGACCAATATACATACATAGAGGAGATGAGACAATTGGTTGCATCTTCTGTAACTTACCAAACATGACACAGATTAGCTTGAAAGAAGGGTTTAAGCTGGTTTTCTCAGCTGCTTTTAAGCACATCAATGGATGTCAAAACTGCAAAGACAACTTAGTTACGCTTCTCAGGACGTTTTCGCCTACCCATTTTGAGAATGGGACTTGGAACACTGGAGGAGCTTGCGGGAGGACGATCCCCTTTAGGGTAGATGAAATCAGCCAGCAAAGTAGCGATATGGAAATCAGAACATCTCAGATAGAACAGCTTGAAGAGATTAAAAGTGACAGCTTAAAGAAGAAGAAGTTTGCGGTTTTGGATGTGACTAGGGCTATGCTAATGAGACCAGATGGGCACCCGAATTCTTACTGGGGGAATAAATGGATGAAGGGTTTCAATGACTGTACTCACTGGTGCTTGCCTGGACCAATCGATGCCTGGAGCGAGTTTCTCATGGCACTACTTAGACAACTCAGGTAAATTTTGAGGATAAGAAATTTTAAAAAGTATAAGGTGATGTCTTTAATTCAATTCTCATAGAAACCTTTAGTTATATGTGTAAGAAAGAGAAGACACATATAAACAGGACATATACAAAACTGTACATACCTGATTGTTTCATGTATTCATGATCATAGCCTGCAAAAAACATTTAAGCAGAGTAATAACAGTTTCCACCATTCTTAGTGTTCATGTGAAGATATGAAACATAAATAATCTTCCAAAGAATCTCAAAATGGATGACATAGAAATAAATCGACGTATCGGAAAATTTCAACAGACATTGCGATCTAAAAGACCACCTTAAACAGACCTTGTCCCAGACTCCAGAGACTAAAAATTACAGAGAACTGAGACAGAAATGGCAACAGCTAACTTACTCACCAACTATGACTACAACACAAAACTTCAATTGTATCCTAACTCTTAACTTTAGCAATCATAACATCATTCAGATCAAAACACATATCAACAAAAGCTGAGAATATAATAAGAGAACTGGGAAAGGTGAGATTGATAAATAGCAATTCTCCAACTATTCCTTAGAAATTCCAAGTTTCAACAGTAAAGACATGTGAACTTCTAAAGATTCTCTAAGCAATTTATTAAAGAGCATAAGCTCAAAGTGGATGTAATAGAAACAAATCAACAGATCATTGAGTAATAGCTAAATTCTTCACTTACCATGACTACAACACAAAGCTTCTATGTTTTCTATTAGTTAACTCTAGCAATCATAACATCATTCAGATGGTAATACATAATCGATAAAAGCTTGAAAGTGAAGAAATTTCCCCAGTTCAGATTGATAAATAGCAATTCTCCAACTATTCCATAGAATTCAACAGTAAAGATCGATGCTTTACATAGAGAAATCACATAAAACCAACACAACAGATCAAGACTCCAAAGTGTTACCAAGAGGAAATGAGAAGACTTCGCGAACCGGAGAAAACTCAACAAGACCAATCTCCATACCATAACCATTCACCGGAAGCTTCAAATCTCTCAACACAGAGAAAGCCTCAGCCATACGTGACTTAGGAACATCAAGAGCCACAGGACAAAACGGAACCCAAGAATCAACACGATAATCTTCACCAATCTCAACAGATTCTTTCTTCATCGTGTCACATAACTGAGACTGTAACTGAAGAAGCGAGAGAGACGGTGTCGGAGATAGAAACAGTACGTTGTTGTCGCTAGAGAAGGTACCGATAGTGGAGAACGAGATCGAGATTGGTTCTTGCTTCGATACGAAGTTTTTGATGACGGATTCGAGTCTCGTTGAATCGAAGAAAGAGGTAGAGAAGAGTGTTATATGTGGACGAGACTCAGTGTTGATCAATTTGGTACTGATTTGACGGCGAGCGAAGACGTTCCATGCTTTCAAAACTTGGTTTTCGAGTGCTGGATCGAAGTAAAGCTCGATTGCGTAGCCTTCTGACATTTGTGGTTTCAAGTCGGAATCGAAGATCGGAGACAGAGATCTGGGAAATTAGTAAAGGATTTTGGATCAAAATCTGGGAAATTTGGAGATATGTTGAGGAGAGATTTACTCAAAAGGGAAAGTGAGATATCATGAAATTGTCAGATTTGGTTTGTTCATTTTAACCGAACCTAACCGAACCGAACCGATATAACCGAATAGTTTGGTTTGGTTCGGTTTCAAACTCGTTTTATGTTTATTAATTCGTTTTTCTTGAGCTAAAACCAAACTAAACTTACAGATTAATGGTGTAAATCGTATCGGAGGTCTAGAGTGCGGCATGCAGAGCCGTTCGTAGTGGTCTGAGTGTTTCGGGGAGCATGTCCATCGTAGAGATGTCGTACATGCAGAACCGTCCGTTGACGATCCGAGTGTTGCGGAGAGAGCTGCGCTGTGGAATCGTTATTCGTGGAAACTGTTCATCGTAATCGCATATGCTGCAGTTGATTATCAGCATAATTAGGCGATGATGGTTATCAGCATTATCAACAATCTACTGATGATGTAGTAAGACGACAAAAAAAATAAAAATAAACTCAAATCGAACTTTAGTAAATTCGGTTTGAGTTCAGCTACAGCTTTTTTAAACCAAATTAATCAAACCGGACCGAATCTAAAATTGAAAATTAACCGAAATGCCTACCTCTAAATAGTAAATACCAATAATTTTCCATTAATAAATAGGAAATTCAATGTTCTGGGAAAATTATTTTATTTTCTTAGTCGAATTAATGGGAAAATTGTGTTTACTTACTAATCTGTGTAATTTCGGTTTAGAATTTTGAGATGAAATTTCACCAACTAGGCTAAACTTGATGGGTTAAATTCGGTAATTAAAAGCCCAAGCTCGTTATATCTAACTAATGGGCCTAACGTCAGGCCCATTTGTCTTATATTCAGACACGACGGGACAATGATCGCCGATTTCTAACAATCCTGTGCGATAACCTCACTCTCCGACTATAAACCCTAGCCGCGTCTTCTGGAAAATTTCAATTTCAATTTCGCTGAGAAGTTACAATCCAGAGGAAAAGATCATCTTTTTCCTTCTGGGTTAATGGAAAAGATGAAGACTTCTCAAAAGAGAGGACGCAAACACAAAAGACAAGATGCTTCATCGGCGGGAAACGCCGGCGGCGAAGTTGAAGAAGCTTCCGTTAACGAAGCATCGTTACCTCAGTCTCCTGAGCCTGTTTCAGCTTCTGAAGCAAACCCATCTCCGTCGCGACGCAGTCGTGGGAGAGGTAAAAAGCGTAGATTGAACAATGAATCAGAAGCTAATAACCAGAGGACGTCGTCACCAGAGCGTAGTAGATCTCGTCTTCATCATTCTGATTCGAAGAATGGTGATTGTAGCAATGGGATGATTGTTTCAGCAACTACTGAATCGATTCCTGCTGCTCCAAGTTGGGAAACTGTGGTTAAAGTTGTTCCTTCAATGGATGCTGTGGTTAAAGTCTTTTGTGTTCACACTGAACCTAATTTCTCGTTGCCATGGCAAAGGAAACGACAGTATAGTTCTGGTAGTAGTGGTTTTATTATTGGAGGAAGAAGAGTTTTGACTAATGCACATTCTGTTGAGCATCATACTCAAGTTAAACTCAAGAAGCGTGGCTCTGATACTAAGTATTTGGCGACAGTCTTGGCCATTGGAACTGAATGTGACATTGGTATGAATTTTGTATCTAATTTCTGCATCTGTTTTCTGTTGTTTTATACTGTTTTCAGTGTAGTTTGAGTTGCAATGGAAGGTTTAAGTAATCAGAATTGAATGGAAGTTTAGCAACTGATGATTTATTAATGATGGTAAGACTATTTTTAGTGTAGTTTGAGTTGCAATTGAAGTTGAAGTAGTCACAATTTATTGTTTTTTCTATGGATTGTATTTGTCTCCTTGTTATGTCTGTTATAAGTTGATTGGCAAATGTATGAAGTTTGGAATTTTACTGTTCTTGTCTATGGGCTGATGGTGTTATACACTTGGATTTACAGCTTTGTTGACTGTTACGGATGATGAGTTTTGGGAAGGAGTATCTCCTGTGGAGTTTGGCGATTTACCAGCTTTGCAAGATGCTGTTACTGTTGTTGGTTATCCAATTGGTGGTGATACAATCTCTGTCACAAGCGGTGTTGTTTCGCGGATGGAGATATTGTCGTATGTGCACGGATCAACCGAGCTTTTGGGATTGCAGGTTCTACAATACATTTGACAAGATTTTGGTCCTTCAATTTATCTGACTCAGAAGTTTAGGGCACTTATAATAGTGTTTTCTTTTTTTGTCTTTTCAGATTGATGCAGCTATTAATTCTGGGAATTCTGGTGGTCCTGCATTTAACGACAAAGGAAAGTGTGTTGGCATTGCGTTTCAGTCGTTGAAACACGAAGATGCTGAGAATATTGGTTATGTCATTCCCACACCAGTGATTGTACATTTCATTCAAGATTATGAGAAGCATGATAAATACACAGGTAAGTTTCATCGATGATTATGTTGTTTGTTATCTCTACATGTGCTATATTTTCATACTTGTACTCTTTTAGGTTTTCCTGTTCTTGGAATTGAGTGGCAAAAGATGGAAAATCCTGATTTGCGTAAGTCCATGGGTATGGAATCTCATCAAAAGGGAGTGCGGATAAGAAGAATCGAGCCAACTGCTCCAGAATCACAGGTTTTGAAGCCTTCCGATATTATCCTTAGCTTTGACGGAGTTAATATTGCTAATGATGGAACTGGTAATAATTCTTACAGTTAGATATTTATTTGAGCTTATTTCTGGTCAAGTCTAGACATTCCCTGGCTATAACATTACTGTTCTTGTTTTTTTTTTTGTTTTTCAGTTCCATTTAGGCATGGAGAACGAATTGGCTTTAGCTATCTTATATCTCAAAAGTACACTGGAGATTCTGCTCTTGTGAAGGTTCTACGTAACACAGAAATTTTAGAGTTCAACATAAAACTTGCAATCCACAAGAGGCTAATCCCTGCACATATAAGTGGAAAACCTCCTTCGTACTTCATTGTTGCTGGCTTTGTTTTTACAACTGTCTCTGTTCCATATCTTCGATCTGAGGTCGTTTACTCTCTCTATCTCTCTTTACTTTCTCACTCTCTCATGCATCCAATCACAGTTTATATAACCATTTCCCAATAATATGTTTTGCAGTATGGAAAAGAATATGAATTTGACGCACCTGTCAAGCTATTGGAGAAACATCTTCATGCAATGGCTCAATCCGTGGACGAGCAGCTTGTTGTAGTTTCACAGGTTGGTTTCTTTTGTCAACTCCTTACGCAATTACTAATATTATTCCTGTTTGTTGTCCAAAACCTCAACATCAATATCACTTGCAGGTTCTTGTTTCTGACATTAACATTGGATACGAGGAGATTGTCAACACCCAGGTTTGTGGAATTGCATTATCACTTGTCACTTTGTTGATACGTCTGTCACTCTAAATGTTTAACTACTGTGTAGGTTCTCGCTTTCAATGGCAAACCTGTGAAAAACTTGAAAGGTTTAGCTGAGATGGTGGAGAAATGTGAGGATGAATATATGAAGTTTAATCTAGATTATGATCAGGTATATTATTTTCTCATCTTCCCTTACTTTTATACAAACTTATAACAACTTTTAAGCTAAAATTATTTGGTGATTTTACAGCTTGTTACTCTGGAAACTAAGAGAGCAAAGGAAGCAACTTTAGATATTCTGACCACACATTGCATACCTTCTGCTATGTCTGATGATCTCAAGGCTGAAGAAAGAAACTGAAACAGGAGGCACAACCATACACAGAAGGAGAGAAAGAGAGAGTTTGGTCCATTGGAAGGACAGAAGCAAATACAGTCATTGAAAAGACAAAGAGAAGCTCACACCATAATTTAATTTTTCTTGATTTCTGTTTGTTTTTGTATTTGGAAAAATATGCAGGAAGAAATACGTTGGTTATTTTTTTTTATCTCTTTTATTTTCTTCTCTGTTTGAACTTGGTAGAACAATCATATATCCCCAAAAAAAGTAAGAAAAAAAAGAAAGCAAAATGGATGAGATATAGTCGTATCATCCTCCAAGTTATAACTAAAAATCATCATAGCTTCTTGTCCCAAAATACTTCACTTTCCATTCATCTCTATCCTTATACGTCCAGACACATTAACTGTTACACATTGTTTGGATT